TATAAAAGATTTCTCTAAAATCACCAAGCCACTAACCGAATTATTAATGAAAGAGGCTGAGTTTATTTTCGACGATAAATGCTTGAACGCATTCGAGACACTTAAAGAGGCCTTAATCTCAACACCTATTATGCAACCTCCTGATTGGAATTTACCATTTGAAATAATGTGCGATGCGAGCGACTATGCTGTAGGCGCAGTCCTAGGACAATGCAAAGAAAAAAAGCTTCACGCTATCTACTACGCAAGCAGAACGCTCGATCCCGCACAGATGAATTACGCCATTATGGAGAAGGAACTCTTAGCTGTGGTATTCGCGTTGGATAAATTTCGTTCCTACTTAGTAGGCGCTAAAATCATTATCTATACGGATCATGCTGCGATCCGATACTTACTAAGCAAGAAGGACGCCAAACCGCGACTGCTCAGATGGATCTTACTCCTACAAGAGTTTGACTTAGAAATAAAAGACAAGAGAGGAACTGAAAACGTGGTAGCAGACCATTTATCGAGATTAGATGGAATCCAAACCGAGAGTGTTCCCATAAACGAAGATTTCCCTTATGAACGCCTTATTGCCAAGCTAGAGATAAACCCTACCGACAGTTTAGATCAACATAATGAACCTTTAACAACTGCGGTAGTAAAAGCCATTTGTACTAACACCACACTGCCATGGTACGCTGACTTCGTCAACTATTTAGCTGCCGGTGTTTTACCACCTGATTTGACGTACCAACAGCGGAAGAAATTTTTCCATGACCTTAAACACTACTTTTGGGATGAACCATTACTCTTTAAAAGAGGCGCCGATGGGATCTACTGTCGCTGCGTTCCCAATGATGAAATAAACGACGTCATTTCCCATTGCCATTCCGCCCCTTATGGTGGACACGCTAGTACGTCAAAAACTTGTGCAAAAATACTTCAAGCTGGCTTCCTTTGGCCTACCTTATGGAAAGACGTCCACGTAGCAATTATGAACTGCGATAGATGTCAACGCACAGGAAATATATCTAGACGCGATGAAATGCCGCAAAAGGGAATCCTCGAAGTAGAAGTTTTCGATGTATGAGGAATTGATTTCATGGGACCTTTCCCTACATCTTTTGGAAATAAATATATTTTGGTAGCCGTCGACTATGTATCAAAATGGATTGAAGCCATCGCCGCACCCACAAACGATACACGTGTGGTACTAAAACTATTCAAGAATATTATCTTCCCACGATTCGGTGTACAAAGACTAGTGATCAGCGATGGTGGCTCCCATTTTATCTCTAGAATCTTCGAAAAGTTACTTTCCAAATATGGCGTTAAACATCGCATAGCCACACCATACCATCCTCAAACGAGTGGACAAATGGAAGTGTCAAATAGGGAGATCAAACAAATACTTGAGAAAACCGTAGCCACATCCAGAAAGGACTGGTCCTCCAAGCTAAACGATGCTCTTTGGGCATATCGGACAGCTTTTAAAACCCCTATCAGAACAACGCCGTTCAAGTTAGTTTATGGAAAATCTTGTCATTTTCCAGTAGAATTAGAGCATAAAGCTTATTGGGCCATAAAAACCCTTAACTTAAATTATAAGAGTGCTGGCGAGAAACGAGTGTTAGATATCCATGAACTAGAAGAATTGCGTTTAGACGCTTATGAAAATGCTAAAATCTATAAAGAACAAACAAAAAAGTGGCACGATAAGCGTATCTCACGGAAAGACTTTAAGGAAGGAGACATCATACTCCTATTCAACTCTAGACTGAAACTTTTCCCAGGAAAATTACATTCCAGATGGTCTGGACCGTTCGAAATTAACAAAGTTTTCCCAAGTGGGGCGATAGAAATTAAAGGTAGTTCTATCGAACCATTCATAGTTAATAGCCAGCGCCTAAAGCACTACTTTAACATCAGAAATATCGACTATTCGACTTATCTTCAGTTAAGTGAGCCGCCTACCCCAAATACCTAATTGAATAGGTGTTAACTGTCGAGCCGTCGACATAAAATAAAGGCGCTTCGTGGGAGGCAACCCATGTTTTACTTTAATTATTTTTTCTGCTTTAACATGCTTTTATTTTTCTTTTCTTTTTCTTAATCTTTAAAACATTTTCATGATTGCATCTCTTACTCCTTTCTATTTTTCTTCTGTTTTTATTTTTCCCTTTCATCTTTCTTTTTTCATTTTAATTTAACTTTGGCAATTTCCTAACCTGAAAATACTTACTTAATTTCTCTTTTTTCAAACATTTATCAAATATTTTCAGGGGGGTAACTCTTTTACTTTCTTATTTCGCGCTATGGATTGTGCAAACTTCATGAATGTCAAATTGCGAAGCAGACACCAAAGAAGACGGTTTGCAGACCTGGGTGAACGGGAGATGTGCCCTACTATCTACGCAGATGATCATGCTATGACCGCCCTTGGCATTCGTGAGAGTGTCATGTACTTGCTGCATCAGATTGGTTGGGACACTGCTCCTATCCGTAGACGGTTCTGTACCTATAAAAGGCTGACTCTTGAGTTCCTAAGCACCCTGAGTTTCATTCCAAATCATGGGATGGGATTCAACCGTGGGTTGATCACATTCAAGATGTTTAACATGGATTACACTTATAACCTACGGGAGTTTAGCCAGCTGCTTGGGTTCCCTTTTGGACCCGATGTTATTAGTATGACACAGGAGAACCTCTTGCCTGAATCTGATCTTGATTATTTCTGGGGAAGCATCACTGGTAATAACCATCCTGAGCCGTCTGATCTTTACTCTGAATGCATCCATAACCCGTCTATAAGGTATTTCCACAAGATCATAGCCCACACCATCTTTGGCAAATAGCAGAATGTCACATCTGTATCCCGCGATGAGCTGTTTATTATGTATTGTGCATCCCAGAGCCGTCTGGTGAACGGTGCAACGTATATGCTCGCTAATATGGAGCGTATCATCCAGACTCCGAATGCACCGATCTTGTTGGGTGGGTTAGTTACCATGCTATCTAATGCAATTGGACTCCGCCGGCCTATGCTCGGATCTGCACCGCTTTATGGAATAAAGCCGATGGACATTGCATTCTGTTTCAACACTAGCATGATCGGAAACCTTGGACCAGATCAATTTGACCTGCTAGTTAATCATCAGATCCACCAGTTTAAGCTTCCGGACCCTATCACCAGTGTGCACAACCAAGATAACTGGCTGTTTGACCTTCACCATCCTGCTTCACCGCCCTCCTCACCATCTACGGTTGACATTTATGAGGTTCCAAACACTACTAATGCTGATGAAGATCCTGCTACACTACCAGGATACCATGAGTTCCCTGATCCTTGGGAACAGCAGGCTACTTCCGCTGAGACCGCGACCCAGGCTCCTGAGACTACTCCACCTCCACCTACTGTTACCCTGGACTCCTTACATGAGGCAATTACGGACATGCGGGGCGAGCTGACTTCTCTCAGGGTGGACTTCATAACCTTCATGGACTTGGTGACTGATCAGTTGGACTACATGCATCAGCATATGTTTTCGCCTCCCCGTGGCTAGAGTTTCCATTGTTATTCATTTTCTTCTCTCTTGCATTTGTACGTACAGTTGGGACACTGTTTAGTTTTAGTGTGGGAGGGATTTTTGGTTATTATTTCAGCATTATCATTTTTTATTCCTAGTTACTTTGAAACAATTTGTCATGAATTTATTCAATTAAAGTTTATTTTAATTTTCATTTCTTTTCATTTCCAGTTTACTGTTTTATTTACTGTCTATGTTTATACGCAATATTTCTATTTCGTCATGTAATGGTAACTGTTGTACCCCAAAATTTGCCCTCCCATATTCTTCAAGATTTGCAAAGAGCATGCTTCAAAATCTCCCCAAAGGGTTGCACAGTGCAAGGGCCTCCTAGCAGTCAAAATTAGGGTTTTGGTTCTGGCAAAGAAATTGAAGTTTCCAAGGGCCCAATCAAGTCCCACATGCCTATAAACATTATCAAGCATCCTCATGCCAAGTTTCAAGACTCACAGTACAAAATTGCACAGTCAAATGCCCTAATTGCTCAACAGTCAACTGCAGGGGCAAAATGGTCATTTGACAGTCAAAAGTCCAAATTTTTGGTCAACATCTTATTTTGAAGCCACAAACATCATTTGATCAATTCTTGATCATGATTCTCAAGGCATGGCTCAAAAAGTCTCAAGATGCAATAGTTTCCATATTTGGACAGTTGAAAAAGTCAACTGTAACTTGACCAAGGCCTAACTTCCACATGGTTTATCAGAAAAATTCCATCCAAAGCTCATTTTGAATAGAAAGACATTTCCTACAACTCCTCTTCACACTTCAAGTCCAAGAAATTCTCTCACAAAAAGTTATCAATCTCAACATTATAGGTCATTTTCAAAAGTCAACAAAAAGGGACTTTAAGTAAAAGACGATAACTTGAGATTGGTAAATCAAAATGACATGGGACCAAAGGCATTGGTTAGAGGACTTCAAGACCTTTCCAAAATGTCCAAGAACATGATCAAAGCTTAAAAATTGAGCAAGATGTGCCTTGTGGAAGTTGGGAAGTTTTTGGGAATTTTGAAAAGTCAACTTTGCTTCAAATGCCTCAAAATTGCTAATGGGCCACATTTTCTTCCAAGAATCATTATCCAAAGGCTATGCACGACCATTTGACCCAAAGGGGATTTATTTTATCATTTTTTATTATTTATTTGAATTTTTATCACCATTAATTCATTTAATTAAATAAAATATGACAAAAATACTCAAGCATGTATTCTAAATCTTTTTATGCAGCTAATAGGTCTAACATAACCTCAAGATTTCGTGCATATCTAATATGGAAAGAATCTCCAATGATTGGCATATTTGGCATGAAGAAAAGATTGGAAAAATCATGGAAGATCACAAAATTCAAAAGCATTGATTCCTTGGATATTAGGCTTGTTTTGTTACCCTAATTCATCCCTCATATAAGTCAGAACTTAACCCTAATGCAAACGACCTTGAAGCTGCGCCTTAGACCTCATACAAACTTTGCAATTTTTGTCAAATACTCAAAAACTGAAAACACAGTTCTAGCGCAATTCAAAGCAAAGTAGTCATTCCAATAGCTTGCCAGGGCATCAAGGAAGCTTTCTGCATTCTTTTCCAGTCCCCACGCATCAAGAAGTGGTAGAACAAAGTCCAATTTTCTCAAACTTTTCTCATATTCGTGCTTTGATTTATATGCCATATTCATACATTTTAATGATCGTTTTGTACTAATATGCACTCCCTGAAACTAATGGTGTATTTTAATTGAGTTTTTAATGCCTGTGCACGAATCCACCATGGGAGCCCTTTAGGGTTGCAGAGACTTTAAAAGAGGGCTTTGTTCCTCTGGAAAAATTAAGCTATAAGACCTATACCACTGAAACCGGAAGCTCATGACGATTCAAACTCACATGTCGCGCTCAATTTATGAGCAACGATGGCCTAATCGCTATTTTCAGTTTCAGGATTAGTGGGGGTTTAAAACCCCTGCTATTTGATGTATTTTTTTCAGGTGAAACAAAGAACAAACAAAGAAGAAGGTGATTTGTCATCCTATGGTTGGCTATTTCAAATCCAGGCGCGCATTTTGCTAAACTCCCACTAACCCACGTTTTCTCTCTCTTATTATTCATACTCTATTATATTGACAAAGAAAGCAAATGGCACAATTGGTAGCTGCGTTGTCACACAAGCATTGGGACCTGGGTTCGATTCCCAGGTCCCCTCCCTTCTCAATATTATTTTGTTTTCCATGTTCCTACGCAGCGTGCCTTCCAGGGGTTCACCATACATCCACTATCCAAGCTTGCCACATGGCCCAGGAGACGAATCTGAAGGTCAAAAATCAAGGTCCAGGGAACACCCCAGTCAACGCATGTGCACCTGGTCAGAAAAGTCAAAAGAGGCCTCAATGAAGTGGGCCTGATTGCTACAATGATACCTCCAAAAGGGCCAACAAACCCCCCATGTTTGCATTTTTCTCTCCTTTTTTATTTTTTCTCTTATTTATTTTAATTACATTATTTGTTTTATTTTAATTCCTTAAATTAATTTTTCTTTAATATAAAAATACCAAAAAAATCAAAAAGACAAAAAATAAAAATCTATTTTATTATTTAATTCACTAACGTTTCTATTTTGTAAATAAAGGTAATAATTAATTTAGTTCTAATTCTAGGTTTTAATTTTAATATTTTTTGTAATAAACTAAAAAAAAGGTAGAAATTAGGGTTTTAAGCTTTTATTCTTTTTTCCTTTCTCACCATATTTAATAATTAATTTTATTTTGTAAATAAATTTGCCATTAAATAATTAGGTTAAACTAGGTATAACTTAAACATTTTTTATAAAATTAAAAAACAATTTAGAATTAGGGTTAATTAACTTTTTTTAATTCCAATTTAATTTTCTCATTAAACTCCATAAATACAAAAACTCAAAAAAAAAAATTCTTTCTTTTTATTTAAACTTAATTAATTTATTAATTTCAATTCAATTTCTTTAAAAGGGTCCAACGCCCTCGCTTTCGATTATAATTCCGTTTCGCGCGCTTATTTTGTTTCTTTTCTTATAAATTTCATGTAATTATCCCAAAGCCGTGTAATAGATTAATTAGACATTTACCTTTCCGCATTTTATCTTGTTTCAAATCGGGTCTTGGATTAATTTGGCGATGTAGACCCGCGCCTTTGTAATAACGTAGGACTTTTTAATTCCGCATCTTTTAACTGTTAATAATTTGCATGAAAGAATGAATGCCAAAATAAAAGCAACGCGTAGATCACCAATGCATGAACAAGATAAACATAAATGAACATGACACACAAATCACACACCACCCCTAGGGTACGCCTCACTGTTGCCTTGCCCCTCGAAAAGTGGTCGTCGAGTAGAGGATGTTTTAGTAAGTCCTCATGTCCATGAACATGGCATGAGGGTAGCTTCTAAGGTGTCTTCCTATTGCTCTGGTGACCACAATGTCCCGAACCTTCGAATTGACCCGAACACCTCCAACGGTGGTGCTACCTACCTCTCAATGGTGGGATGGCACTACTTTAAGGACATTTACACAGACGAATTCCTTAGGGTAGGTAGATTATCGTAGATATTTGCTCTAATTTCAAAACCAATCAAAAAAATACTTTTCACACCGACACCTTTTCAAAAAGCTTTCAAAAGCAAACTTTCAAACACTCTTGAGGACTGATACAAGAGTCGAACTGAAATTTTCAAAGAAACTTTTTTTAAACCCACAGTTGAAAAAGCAAACAAACAATTTTGAAAATACAAATGAGCAAGTATCTAAGAGCCCATGGATAACCATGGATAGAAAGGGTGCTAACACCTTCCCTTTCTATAAATCTACCTCCCGAACCGAGAGCAATCTCTACAAGGAATTTTTCTGTGCTTTTGTCCTTTCCATTTGGAGAAAATAAAAGACGGTGGCGACTCTTGCTTCCGCGACATTTCACGAACCAGCGTTAAACAGTCAGTTCCAGATCCACCGATCACAGTAACAAATATTACAAACTTTAAATTATTAGATTACCTCTACATTTAAAACTCTTATTAATTAAAATATTTCAAAAATTGCTTCGTGACCTCTGCTTCGTGACAACTAAGAACCATGCGTCAAACTGCTTCGTGACCTCTGCCTTGATCTTCTCTGACATTTCAGGGGGCATACGGCGGACCTTCTATTTAATCAGAGGACAATCTTCCTTGGTCGGCAGACGATGTACCACAATATCAGTGTCTAAACCATGTATGTCATCATATGACCAGGCGAAGATCTCAGCATAGTCATGCAACATCTGTATCAACTGCTATTTGATCTTAGCTTCTAGATTTGCACCGATTTTGACTTCTTTTCTGTCTACCTCTATGCCCAAGTTTATCGTCTCAACTGGCTCTTCACGAGGTTGTATAGCCCTTTCTTCCTGCTGTAACAGTCTAGCAAGTTCTCCAGGCACCTCACAATCGTCCTTACCTTCGTCCTCAGCTTGGTTGATCGGATTTTCCAAGTCATAATCGGCAGTAGCAGAACTGTTATCAATGGGATCCATAGTGGATATGGATCTGCAGTATGATACATGAGTGTGTGTAAGAGCATAGTTGTTTTGATAAAGTGAAAACAGAAAAGAAAAACAGAGAGCGCAAAATTTGTATGTAAGGAACGTCCAATGTTTTATTGATGATATATGAAATGACACATAATAGCCCTCACAAATAAAACCAAAGTGCCTTGGGAAAGACACGAGGCTGTAGAGTTTAAATTGTTTATTACAAATTTAAAAAACAAGTAAGACAATTACTGCGGAATAAAAGAAACTGGTATAAAATCCCTAGTCGTCCAGTTACTCGGTCCACCATTGGTAGTTGGGTAGATCCAGCTATCGATGTCAGAGTCTTCCTCACTGTCTTCAATGGCATTAATTCCCCGATTGCTGATGTGTAGGGGAGGTCCTCCAGCTCGAGCGCGTTGAATAGCCCTTTGAGCTCCTGAAGTAAAGCCCAAACCAAACTTGTTAGTTTTGTGAGTAAAATCAGGGAGTTGTCCCCAGTTGGTATACCCACCTTCTTCAACCACTGCTCTAGTGTCTTTGAGATAAGCCATCTTCATAGGAGGATTGATGCTGATAGTAGTCTCAGTCGATGCCAAGATCTGGTGAACCTCTTCAAAGTTTTGGCAAGGAGTCTCTATGAATTCCCCGTCCATTTCTACGTACCTGAAGGAGTTGAGGTGGCTCATCATATACTCCTCTTCGCCATGTACAGTGACATTCTTCCTCTTTACTGGATACTTCAGCATTTGGTGCAGTGTAGAAGTAACAGCCCCAACTTCATGGATCCAAGGACGACCCAACAAACAAGAGTATGACGGTCGTATGTCCATTACATAGAAGGTGGACTCAAAGGTCTGAGAACCTACCTTGACAGGGATGTCCACCTCCCCATGCACCATTCTCTTTGACCCGTCAAAATCCCTTACCACAATGTTGCTAGGCTTTAAGGTCAAGCCCTTACAATCTAGTCGATTGAAAGCCTTCTTTGGCAGGACATTTAGTGAAGACCCAGTATCTACCAGCACATGAGCCGTCGTGGTACCCTTGCATTCGATCAAGACATGCAGAGAATCATTATACTTACTCCCTTTTGGTGTTAAGTCGACATCTGAAAAACCCAACCCATTATCCGCAGTCAAGCTGGCTAAACAGTCTTTGAATTGATTAGCTGAGGTCTCTTGTGGCACATGCGTAGTCTTGAGGAATGTGATCAAAGATTTCACATGGGCCTCAGAACATAATAACAGAGACAACATGGATATCTCCGAGGGGGTCTGCCCCAGCTGCTCGACCATATTGTAGTCACTCTTTTTAATTATTTTTAATATTTCATCTATCTCTTGTGTGATCGGTGGATCTAGAACTGACTGTTTAACGCTGGTTCGTGAAATGTCGCGGAAGCAAGAGTCGCCACCGTCTTTTATTTTCTCCAATATGGAAAGGACAAAAGCACCGAAAAATTCCTTATTGAGATTAGCTCTCGGTTCGGGAGGTAGATTTATAGAAAGGGAAGGTATTAGCACCCTTTCTATCCATGGTTATTCATGGGCTCTTAGATATTTGCTCATCTGTGTTTTCAAAATGTTTGTTTGCTTTTCAAAGTGAGTGGGTTTGAAAAAAGTTTCGTTTAACGTTTCAGATCGACTCTTGTATCAGTCCTCAAGAGTGTTTGAAAAGTTGTTTTGAAAGCTTTTTGAAAAGTGTCGATGTGAAAAGAGTTTTGATTTGTTTTTTAGAGCAAGTATCTATGAGTCATCTACCTACCCTAAGGAATTAGTCTGTATAAATGTCCTTGAGGTAGTGCCATCCCACCATTGAGGGGTAGGTAGCACCACCGTTGGAGGTGTTCGGGTCAATTCGAGTTTAGGGACAATATGGTCACCAGAGTAATAGTAGGAC